GCATTGATTTTGCATTGATGTTTTTATATCATTGTGTTGTAGTTTCTCTCTCTAAGTGATTTTATTAGGAGATAATTTGCTAGTCTTCCGAATAGCCATGTACAGTAAGAGACTGGTATAAATTGGTCCCAGTCCTATCGTGGCTGATACTCATGTCTTGAAGGCGCTACCTGTTTGTGATACGACGTGAGGCCGGTGGGGACTTGGAGAGCTTCTTTGACAGCGCTTGTAAATCAATCCCATTCTCCAGCGAGCGGAGATTGATCGCAGAGCGTGCGGCCCTGTTGATCGGGAGCTAGGCGTAGTGCTACCGGCCGCGCCATTTGAGTGGGATATTATCAGACAGATTCACTGCACCCAATCCTGCTGGTTTAAAGAGGCATGAAATAAACGCTTGGATGTCGCCAATAACAGAGGGGGCATTAGAGAGCAACTCCACTGGACGTTTTGCTTCTCCGCGTTGAGAGATTGGTATTGAAAAGCGTGTTCATTCATTCATCAACACTCTATAGCCGGCAGATTTATTCATGAAACCTAGATGAAAATCGAATGCTATGTAAATAACTCGGCTTCCAACTGTGCACAGCTAGACATTCTTGTTGTATCGACACATGCTGCTCTGAAATGCTTGTTAGTGAATTTATTAATTAGTTAAAATTAGTTTCCCTGCCTAGCATACCTACTTCCTGGATTTGGTTAGTCAGATTTTGGATTTTGGTTAGCTTTATAACATTGATAAGCTTAGTTAATTAAGAATAGAGTTCAATAGTATAGGTGTTAAACATTATTTAGGTAAATGTTCTAGGTGTTAAGAAATGTAAACACTATTTGTATTTGTAATATTCTATAACTTAATCTCACGGTCCATGTTGTACACAACGGCATTTTCCCGTCGTCGTCCTTGATAAATCTCATTCCACTCATAATTAACATGTTTTGATGAAGCAAACTGTAAAAGAAATCTCAGCGATGCCCCATCACGGTAGATGCGCGCGATCGCATACTTTTTGTTCCAAACGCGGGAGCTTTGGCATACTTTCGAAATGACTGGAATAATTAGCCAAAGGCCAGGGTGTGCCTTAAAAACATGGAGCGTGCGCTGGGTTCTGTAATCACATGGTAATTATGGTTCTACATAGTGTGGTCCTAACTACTATGGGTCATTATGGGATGCACAAAAGCCATTCAGAAAATCATTATTGCACCCTCCGAGATAACAACACAAAAGGGGCTCCGCGTGGAAAATTACATTTGAGACCCTCTCGGGTGCTATTTCATTACCTAGGTCTCTATGATGGCTGAAATGGGTTCTCTTAATTTGAGGAGCCGGATTCCAGCTTGACGTGAATTGAGAGTGGCTTATGTAATCTGCTGATAAGTATCCCGTACTGCCGTGTCACAGCTACACGGCACCGACCGTTGTCAACGCGTTTACTTGCGCCTGCTTTCCCCCTTTTATCTCACTAATAAGACCATTTCCATGGTGTGGACCGTGGTGTGATGGAAGTATGCAATTATCTGTGAAGGCCCCACCAAGTGTTTCCACAGGTGACATTCCTACCTCTCCCTTGTTGTGATAATTAGGGTTCGAATTCTCAGACGCTTGGAGATCTGCTCAGTTGGAAACGATACCATCCCTGTGTTAATTCCCCGGACTGAACATCTCACACGGGCTTGACAGCTGACCGAAACTCAACCGTCGACGCATAAGTGATAATGTAATGCTGTCATGTGCAGCAGACGAATGAGACGACAGTGTTGAGAAAGGAGGGCTCACACCAGAGGTCAAAAGTTGAGGTGGGAAATGGCCATTTTAATTTAAGATGTTTGTTTGCGATGTTTGCTCGTAGCCTAATTTGTTTAGGTGAAGCAAATGTGCTCTGCACTCCCTATACTATAAAGACCAGTAACATGAATTACCCTGTTCCATGTCCGCCACTGTGATGGGGCGATAATGACTCCTATTTTTTGCATATATGCATTGGGCAGATTGAAATATACGTCATATCATGTACATGTTGAACATGATATTGATGATATCAATCTTTACTACTGCTATTTGTTAGTGGTTCCATATTTTCCGATGACTTTGACTCGTTAAGTGTGACTTAATTTCCCAAATTGAAGTAAGCTATTCTGTTGTTAAACGACTGCTATTATAAGTGCTATTATAATTATCCTGGGTTTTTAAGTGTCTTTTTAAATCTTTTTAAACCACAAAACGTTTTTATTGTTAGTATCTCTATCCCTTCCTCCTGCTCTCCCTCATCCATTTTCTTCCTGTCATGTAATGGACGTGACACACCAGTACCTTATCGTTCAGCCAGAACAGATACCAGAAATCCTGCCATCAAACAACAGCCTCGTGGTGTATCCGGGTTAAGCCTCCATAGTTTTTTTGGGATCCAAATCCCCAGTCCTGGAACTTTGCACGTGTGTGTGTGTGTGCGTGCGTGTGCTTGTGTGCGTAAGGCAAAGCCAGTAGGGAGGAACTGCTCTGTGTCCGCGTTCGTTAGCAGCCAGACCATATATGGTGGAGCTGCCTGTATCCCAGGAGTCTCTACCAGGTTGATGCACAGCTACAGGGAGCCTCATATCCCAATTATGAGTCCCCTCTGAAACAATTCTGAAGCTATATATCGTTTTTTATGTGTTTCCACAGCGAACTTTTGTCCAAAAATCTCAAAAGTATCTTCAGGTTCCCAGCTCCTATCTAATCAACAACACCCCACTGTTGCACAGCAATTATTTTTTTGTAAAGTAAAACTTCTTACAATCTTCAGCAATTGATTTCTAGCAAGTTTTCACAGTCTGTCTGTCTGTTTCTGCCGTTTAATTATAGTCTCAATAATAATAATTTTATCCCGAAAGAAAATGTTTAACTAGAAAGGGGTCTTTCTTGGCAGAAATGTATCAATATATCAAAGTACATTTGTATCTATTATTTGTTTTTAGGCTACAGATTCACCCAACAGCACATACTGTTTTTGCTTGATGAGTAGGGGCAGTTATGGCTGGGCTATTAAAAGTACATTCCATACACACACAGAAAGGTTTTTCTTGACCAGAATACGTGTCTGAAATTAAAATGTGCCAAGAGTAGCCTCCAATGTACATTTTTTGCTCTTGTTATTAAAAACATTTGACATCCCTGCTTTACTCACTGGGGTCTAGATAACCATGGCCTTAAATTTGCTGCAATCCTTTTTGCTGTAATGTGCTTTGTGGATTCACATTTAGTATTTAAAGTGTGTTCTTCTAGGGTTGGCACCCAGTATTCAAGTAAGAGTCAGTCTGAGCCCTAGCTCTGGCATCTTTAGCTAATGCACAATTTATTTTGCCCATGTCGCCCATCTTGTGCAATGTTTGGCACAAGCCAAGACTTTTCTTACTGGTGTTTTTATAGTGGTTTCTTGGCAGCAAAATTGACCATTTAGTCCTGATTTACGTAGTCTCTTCTTTACAGTTGATGTGAAGATCTGTCTGTTACTTGAACTCTGTGAAGCAATTATTTGGGCCGTAGTCTGAGGTTCTGATAATTTACTTTATTTAAAGCTTAAATTCCACCACACCAGCTAAAACCCAAACACATTCATTAATAATGGTAACCCAATTTAACAAACTATGCAAAAAAAACAGTTTAAACCATTTATAATGCTGTCAGAAAGAAGCTGATAGAACCCTTAAAGAATTCCAGTTTAACATCACGTGATCGTTTGGCCTTTCTTGCCACAATCTGTATAATACAAAAACACAACTTTCTAAGGTGTGTTCTCACTTGTTTACTGGAAGCGCTACTTCAGTTCCAGTCATTTGTGCTGTTGTGAAACATGGGCAATGTGGAATCGTTTATGAGTAACACAGCTTTAATGCGGGATACATTGAGTAATCACTGCTGTTTCACTATTGATTACAAATGGTTAGAATCAAAGCAATAGCACATTCAAAGTGAGTGCATTAAAGTCACCACACACCTTTCGTATGTTTTTTTTGTTTCGCACATTAGAGGAATCATCATTGGATCATTGGAGTTGTCTGGAAATATCTCTAGATGTATATTTAACCATAATGACAAAAAAATACACAATGTTCTTTTCCTGCTAAAGGTGGCAGGTGTTCATATATATTTTTAAATAATTTAGTTATTTAACCCTGTAATGTATTAATGGAGCCAGATTAACCTACCACAATGTTATTATTATATGTCATTATTATGCCATTATTATCTAAAGTTGCATTGTATTAAGTATCTTTCAGCTTTCTAGGCATGGTATATGCCAGTCAGGCTCCATGATATAAAAAAACAAGACAACTACAAACACTACTAGTAGGCTTCATTCTACCTTATTGCATGAGATACAAAATGATTCAGGCTTTGATATTTGGCTAGCTGACTAGAGTCTGGGAAGTTCCAGAAGCAATTTAAATTGGCCAGCAGGATCTCCAGGGCAGGATGGAGGCATTGCCAGCAGGAGGAGTAATACAGGTTTATTGAAAACGCTACGAGAACTGATTGTTCGCTTACCGTCTAATCAACCCGGACCACGACATGTGCCCATGTTAGGAGACGATCAATATTATTTTGTTCGCCTGTGGGTGATCATGATGCGTTGGCTCATCGCCGTATGTTGACGCTGAAAAGATTCACGTTTTACAAAATAGTTATACACAACTTATTGCTGGGATGCCGGGTTGATATAATCCTGAGCCCGTTTGTTTGAGTTGCTTCCGGTGCTTTTAGACTGAGGTGTTCAGTAGCATCAGTCCAGCTACATAACCAGCATTTTGTTTCATCGACTAATATCTTTCTCCCACCTGCCACTGGGGCCTGGTCAAACGTCAACAGAGCAAATGCGCAGTCATCTCAGTATATCTTACCTGTTATTGCTTTAGAACCCAGGCACAACGACTAAACGCTCCAAACACTTGACATGGACTAAATCCGACACACTTGTTTGATTGCTGTAAACAGTTCTCAACAGCACAGGAATCACGTGGTCGGGAGAAACTGGGGATTGAACCCAGGACATCATACATACAAAGCATGCACTCTACCACAGAGCTACCAATTCCTCCAACCAAGCTCTAACCCAGTCTTAAGGCCATAACAATTAGCCGCTCAGGTCTACTCCTTCCCATTTTCAACGTTTTCTACGAGAACTGATTGATTCGCTCACCATCTAATCTACCCAGACCGTGACATGAGACGATCAATGTTATTTGCGTCACCTCTGAGTGGTCGTAAAAACTTTGGCTCGTCAGCGTATGTCCATATAGGCTTCTGGACAGTTTGAAGACATCTGGACAGTGTTTGCTGATAAAGGGTTTATCAAGTTGCCCTTTGAGTTATCTGGCTGTACAGGCCAATGTTGAATTAAACGTCACGGAAAGTATTAGGCAGACAGGCATATGCATCGTTTCTCTTTCGTTCCTCTTCATGTGTAGTCCACTAAATAGGCCTTGACTATTATCTCTTGGTGATTGAGACGTCTTTCCAAGCTGCCAAGAACCTTCTCAAGCTGTTGTTAAAGTGTAAACGCTGTAGAAGTGCTCCACCCACTTGTGAGGTCACTGTTTGTATTTCATGTTTTTATTGAACACGTCGACATTGTTGTTGTTTCTCCGTCTCAACAGACGGGAGAAATCACCGCAGCGTGGCTTAGATAGTAACGAGGATGTTAATTTGAAGAATAGTCTTCCGTATGTCTTAGAACACAACATGTTCAGGATTTCCATAGCTCAGCAATGATGTCATTTTCCATAATTATATAGTGTTTTTTAATGCTTAGTATAAACAATGAAGTAACCGTTTTCTACTGCTGTGCCAGATCTGCAAACCTCCTGATTAAAATGTCTAAACTGTAAAACAAGCTGCTGCTGTTTCAAAGCTCATCCCATTCAAACGATCGAGACAATTTACTTACAGGTCAAGTGATGAACGAAGCTAACATTAATGAGTAATCATAAGTAAATATATAGAAATCATAGCTGCTCACTAATTAGTTAACCTGACCAAAAATTGGAGGAGTTGGTGTATCTCCGTTCCAGGGTACATGCTTTGTATGTATGATGTCCTGGGTTCAATCCCCAGCATCTGTTCTCAATCGGCCTAAATTAAAGAAATTAATATTCCCTCTGAATTCATAAAGAAGAGATTATTAGCTCCGGGGCTGAATTTGTCTGGTAGAGAGCTGCTCATTGAAAATAAGTTCCTTATAACGTAGCGGCAAAGGTAAACCGTTTAGGGTGATTTATCACTGAACAGTGACTCCAGCCATGTGTAACGATTGGGCCGTTTTAACTCTATGGATTTTTTCCGGATGCTCTTTAGCACATATTAAGGGCAAGAGACTACGTTGTGCTAACGACTATGTTAGGTTAGAGTCGTCACAGCGGTCTGCAGAAACCTGTGTCGGCTCTGGCGCCCGTGTGTTGCTGTTACCCCATAAATGGCATGTATCCAGCATCAACAGGCGTCTATATATAGCACAAGCAATGCACCTCCACCCAACGCGCTGACCTACTGTGGATCTTCTGGTTGTACAATGTGGATGCTTCTACTCGCCAAGAGGGGCAGAGTGGCACTTGACCCCCCTATGCTGCCCTGGTCTATTTGATTGGGCGTAATTACACGGTATGGAGTGAGCAACGCAGTTCCCCATCTCGTGGTTATCCTACAGCTCACACTTCTGTAGGAAAACCCTCGGCAATAGAGGAGGGAGAGTGGTCAGCTTATAGGGGTTATATTAACGAAAAGATTTCGAGTACCGCCTACCGGTTATTAACCTGTCGATGTGAAAAGGGGATTTATACAATATGCCTCGTGGAGTAGCCTAGCCTAGCGAGGTTGTGTCTCTGTCATCACTTTGGACATGGTTTGTTAGATGTTATGTCAGCGCGCATATTTTTTGCTGTCCTTACGTGCTGGTCGTGGTTGAGAGCTCGGTTGGTGGTTTGTTATTTAACTGGGGAGGACGGGTTCAATAATTAATAATTAACGCTTCTGCGTGACAGTATTCATTTCCTGATGTGGCGGTGTCAGAAAAACCACCTGTAGAAGGGGAGGGCGAACATCGGCCCGATGCTATAGACACCAGTAGGAACAAACACAGCCATGAGCGCGCCAAACACACTTTCACTTGTCAGTGTTGCATTTCTGGAGGGAAATCCTGAGCTAGCAGGAAGAACAGACAGTTCCAAACACTCCCATTGGCCATCTCTCTTCCTCTCACTTTCCTTAGACGTTGTGAACATCTGGTAAAGGACATCTCGCAGATATTTAAGAGCGATGAAAATCTGCAGAACGCAGGGAGGACACTTTTTGCTGTCCTTTATGGTAATTGCATTGGCCAACACTTAAAAGAGGGCCTGCAGTCTAGTAAATACCAAGTATTAGCATCCCATCATGTCCATGCTGAAAGTGATTACCACTGTAGATTATTATTCAGTCTGGGTGTGGGAGCAGGGCGGGAGGAAATATCCCAAGTGGTTAGTGGTTGAAATGGGAGTTTTTCCCCTCTCTCATCAGTCCAAGTTAGTTGTGCTGTGTCAGCGGGCCGAGCACAAAAAGGGAATTCAGTAAAAGCTCCCTGCACACTCTGAGAGTCGTTTTCTCCCATCCCCCCCTTCTCTCTCACAAACCGACATTCTAGAAGAAACATATGCTGCTTGTCTCACGTCACAAAGGCCTGGACTTCTTGAATAGGATGCCTTGCCGAGAGAGGAAGCAGTTGTCTGAAGGGAGGGCGAGGGGAGGGCGAGGGAAGGGAGGGAGATGGGAGGGTGGCTGGGGGGATGGAGGGGTGGGTAGTTAGTGAGAGGATATGGAGGGAGAGGGAAATTGAGGGGAGGGAGAAGGCAGAGAGGGAAGGTCGGAGACGGGATGGAGATGGAGGGAAGGGAGACTGGGAAGATGATGGCTGTAAGAACCAAATGTCCCAACTCGTTGAGATTTTCACTGTTGAAATTCAAGTCTGCTTGTATACAGGAATACATGTATACCAACATTGCTCTGATGAGTAACCTTGTGTACATACGGTTTGACTGAGGAGGTGGACACAGTATCAGTTTAGGTACTTTTCTGACCCTAATTTCCATATCATTTCCATCGTCCTCCCCTCGCGATCTTGCAGTTTGACGTTTTTATTGTGTCTATTGTTCGGTACAAGTTGTTTACAAAATGTAAATGCACCAAAAAGGTTGGAAACTCACAATTGGCTTTTGCACGTCAGGGGAATTGAAAATATAGAAAACAGAGTATTTTCTTAAATAAAAAAGGTAGTTGGAATTTAAGGTGGCAAAGTATTGCTGTGTTATTTTTCATTTTTTTTTGTCTCATAAATGTTCTGCTGTTCTCCTACATAAATTTCAGCCACATTTAATAGTCTATTTGACAATCCAGACAGCTGGTGTAAAAGCTTTAACTGCTCCTGTGCCGGTGATACCAGGTGCAGTGGATGTGTTTAAGTGTTATTCTGTTATTATATTGTTCATCCGCAGTCTGCGTTTCATTAGCCTGCTCGTTCATTTAACTACATTCAGCTGTAACTCTATTCTAAATCGTAGTTAAACACGTACCATTTTAAAACAATACTGTGCGCGTGCATCAAAAGTAAGATAACGCTACGTTTCAGCTCCTCGTTGACAGATCCTAATGCCGTAGGTAGATAGGTGGGCCAGGAATCCTTACTTCTTTGGCTCGTTAACTTATTGTCCGCTGGGCTGTGTGTTGACGTCTTAGGGGCAGATGTCGGATCCGCGTAGACTGACGGGTGGCTTGTGTTTGTTTATTGGCAACCCTAGGTCTCTCCCTAGTCCGCTCCAGGCTTGGGCTTGGAGAGCCCCAGTGTCACTATGGACCCCAGCAGCTGGAGTGGCAGCGAGAGCCCCGCCGAGGACATGGAGCGGATGAGCGACTCGGCAGACAAGCCGATGGACAACGATGCAGAGGGAGTGTGGAGCCCCGACATAGAGCAGAGCTTCCAGGAGGCCCTGGCAATCTATCCCCCCTGTGGACGCAGGAAGATCATTCTTTCGGACGAGGGGAAGATGTACGGTGAGTACCCGTACTCGATGTGGGCGGGTACATGGGGGAGGGGCTTGGACAGTCTCGGAGGGTCTGTTGCGATGGCTTTATTTTTCTCATTTGTGATCGTGTTGTGATTAGTGTTGCAAAGGCCAACTGCAGTCCATATTCAGCGTCGTCTGTGTTTTAGATGGTGTTGTACAACAGCTGACGAAACAAACTCTGTTTATGTGGGACAACCGTTGGTAGGTGTTATTTCCTGATTGTTGCTGGCTTTAAATGTTTGCATTGGTGGAAGTTCCTGCTCTACATTGTGACATCACCAAGCAGTTTGACCAATAAGAAAACCTCTTCGCCATTAATAGTTTGTTTGGGATTTTACCCTTCCTCCCTTGAAGACAGGGTTTAGAAAATATTTGTTTAAAATTTTGTTTTACAAAAAATATATTTTGGGATTTTTTTAATGTTTTGATACTTGTCTATATACAACTGAATCGGGTCCTAAACTTGGGACATTTCTCAGGTGGCAGACATACAATTTAACTTTAGAAGACACTTCGTGGTGGCCATACATTCATTTCCTTGACCTGCAAAAGTAGTCCAGAAGTCCAGAAGCAAAGCAGCATGAGCTGTTAGTGAGGAGCAGATGGTAATGTGCCTGCCACCAGCTGTGCCCCCCCCCCTCACTCCCCCATTCCTAGCTGGGTGATGTCATGGAAAGAGGGAATATTTTCTTTCTGCAGTGTTAGACTCTCTCACAGCCTGTCAGTGTCAAGTGAAAGCCCCTGGGGGCGTTCATTTGCAGCTGTCATGTGACCCCTCCGGTCTAACGAACTGTAAAGTCTACGAGTCGCAGCAAACCGCCCTCAGCTGCCGGTACAAAAGGGACCACATGACCATCTCACTAACCTGGCACCCCCTCCTCTCCTTTCCTCGACAAGTAGACTGGGAGGGGCCAAAGGAACGGGCGTACACCATCCCGCCACTAGATCAGAGCAAACAAGCCTGCGTAGCAAGTTTTAAATCATTAACACACATGTGCATGATTCAC